CTAGTAATACCTAAGCTCAATAGATGCTTTTTAACTTCGCACTGTCCAGTGAAAAACCCTGTGATAAGTCGAATGCCACCTCTGTTCAACATAAATATATCCCCAATTCTGGCTTTTGATCGATACAGCATGGATTCTTTAGCTTGTGTGCAGGCAATTGTATTATCCCAATCAGTCTGAGCTGCTCTTCCACTCATGCATTTTAAGTTTGAAAAAGTTCCATGAAAGACCGCAGAATGGTTGTTGCCCAATATAATATAAGGCTGCCCTTCTTCTGGCTATCTCATCTACTTTATTCGATACCCTTAAATCCGCTGTGCCCTGTGCTCCATATTTAGTAAACCATGTTCCTTTTAGCAACGTCTCCCCAAAATTAGTATATCCGGGTTGCAAAACAAAAACAACAACAACAAAAATATTAATGGAAACGTAGTAACAAGTCCTAATAAACATTAACTGTAGCAATGAAAATTCTAAAGCAGCTATCCTTTTTATCATGCTAATAATACTTTTTTATTATTATAAAAATGATAGATATGAGTTTTCTAAAAACCTTTGCTTATATTTCCGATCATCTTTTAGGAGATTCGTCTTGAGGGCGCCTACTTGCTAATATTCAATCTCATATTATCTTGGTAAAGGCAATAATTACTTATTTTATGCCTGTTTTCTGGGTCCTAAATATTTTGTGAGATCAATGACATCTTTTAGAATATAGTTGTTTCTTATTGCATAGAATCTGCTCCATATGTTAGTATTGGTCTTACTATTGTTTGTATATAAATCATGTTTTACTTTCAGCGTTCCTTTAGTTGTTTTTTTAATGTCTAGAGCGTTTTTCCATCAACTCTTTATCACCTTTGTTGCAATACATACGATATGTTTATGCTTTAATACTTAAATTGCATTACTTACATTTTTATATAGTTTTATAGGTTATTCATTTGCAATATCTAAATATATAATATATATATACTTTCAACGTTCGTATAGTTGTTTTTTCAATACGTAGCGCGTTATATACAATATATAATATATATAATATATTTATAAATATCTTATCATTTTGTTATAGGTCTTATTAATTTAAGATCTATATTTTTGATTATTTATTTTTAAAGCCTACACTCTCTGCTGTTCTGCATAATTTTTATATATCAATAAATTATTATTAAATGTATTTATAATTAATTTTTATTTACTACTTTTTGATTCGATCTTTATAAAATATTTAAAAATTTTAAAGCTTCATTATATACATATAAACAATTTGCTTATGGTTTAACCCAGTGTTTGATTACTCTACAATTGTTTTTCGAGTATTTTATAGCTTCAGGCTTTAATTTCTATATAATTATTATATTCGTTTCTATATTAAACTCAGTCTTTCAATAATTAAATGAATTAAAATAAACTGTTGCTCAGCCTTTATATCCCATCGTTCTATGTAATTTTCCTTTATTTGTTTATTTATTGTATATATGTATTAATTGTATTTAAATGTTGTGTTTTTTTCTAGATATATCTATGTAATTTGATAAACAGTGTTTAATTTTGAAATTTTGAATTTACATTACCCGACACTAATATGTTTACATATAACTTATTTGTTTAAAATATTTTATGATATTATAGCAAAGCAGTGTACTTTTAATAAAGTAAGCAAATGTAAACAAAAATTCAGATTTTTAACACTTTTAAAAATTATGAACTCATCATTTATTTATGTAAAATATGTACAAATTAATAGTTAAATATAAATGTTTAAGTATAGTTTCAAATCCTTCTAAAGATAATTATTTTACATTATTTTTTATTTAAACATATACTGTGTAATATACATACAACTGTATTAAATATAATACTAGAGTATAAATACTTTGATATAAATTTTAATTAGTATACAAATAGAAATATATATATATAATCATGTAGATAAATGTAGATAAAAACTACTGTCAACAAGTCTTCAATAAAAAAAAACATATCAACAAGTGTTTATTACAAGAATAAGAATTAATATTTTATTTATTTTTTCTAAAGCATATTTTCTCGCCTGCTATAGATAAGCTTTGTGTGCTTATTATTGGTTTTAAATATTTTATTATTTATTTTATTATAAATTAACTGAAATGATAATTAATATAATTCTTGATTTTTCATGATATCACAAATTTTAATGTAAAATATTTGTTTTAATATTATACAGCTACAACTTTTTATTGTTTTAAAACATTTTTTTTTGTTTTGGTTCATTCATTTAATCAGTTTATCTGTCAAAACTTGTAGAAATTTTAGTTTAAATAATACTTCACAAAAAAAAAATAAACAAAAAAAAATTTATTGGAACTTGTTTATAAAGAAAATTACAACAAACATTACTTAATTGTTAGCTTTTTTATATTTTGATTTCATTTTTAATTTATGCACATTGAAATTTTTTAGTCAACTTATGAAATTTGTTTACTGGAAGACGGGCTTAGACCAGAACGCCTCTGCTAGAAAGCTCATAAAAATTAATAATAAAAATAGAAAAAAAATGTTCAGTCAACATATCGAACAGATATGATGAAGTAGAAACTAACCGGAAACACTTGCCATCTATAGGCTAACCAGACTTTATAAAAATTTGTTATAATTGTTTCAATATGAAGTATAGATTGCAGTTTGCATTTTAATGCTAAAAAAATTTTTCGAAAATAAAAAAAAAAATGTTTTAATAGTTATATGCAATTATATGTATTAATTTGCATTCACAGATATTTTAAAGGCTTGAAGAAATTTTTATGAACACAGAAAGCTGCTTAAAATATTTTGAATGGCATAGAAATATTTCTAACAAGAAATAGTTCATTGCAGTGAATTATTTTATTTATTTTGAACTTATTTGAACTTGTGCTATTTACACATTATTTTTAATTATTTTATTAACCTCTTATGCTATGCTCTGAGATTAATTCAAAAAGAAATTTTCTTTCTGTAATTATTTTTTTTCATTCAAATAATTCATTGGCTGCTGCCAACATCTTCTACTTTATTCATATTTATATATTTAACATATAGAATGATAATTATTTTTATGAATTTATATGAAAATGAATTTATTAATATACACATATAAAAAATTTATAATTTTTTTTCATTTTCCAATGCATTTCCATTTACTTTATTGAATGAATTAAAAAAAAAATTAAACATTTCTGATTAGTAATCTTAATGTCAATTTCCAACGACTTCAATAAAGAATAATAAACAAATTAAATATTTGTAATCTTAATATCTGAGAGAATCTATACTCATAGGCAATAGTTTATATAAATTTTTTTTCGTATAGTAATGAACTACGAAAACAAAAATTCATTTTATATAATTTTAATTAATTAAATTTTTGGCTGACCATACAGTTGTTTCGAGTATTGCCAAATACTTATAATCAGTGGTCTTGGAAATAATTCTTGTATTTAATTATTCGTAAATAACTTTTTGAGACTGCAAGTATCAGGAATCGAACTCGTGTCCTGCCAAATTTGAAGCTCAGAGACAGAGACACCTTAACCAACATACATATATTTTTCTGGAGTTTTGTTAATTTGCTGTGAAAGTTTATTAACAAATTCACTTGTTGTGTTATATTAGAACGAAATCATAAACCATCTATAGAATAATTGAATTTATTAATTATATTTTTATTTTTAATTGTTAAATTTTAATATTATTCTTTTTGCAATATTTGTTGCATGATTTATATATTCTTTCTTATGCATAGAACCTAATCTAGGAACGTAATGCTGAGAAAGTCATGAGAAATTCAAAACAAATTTTTGTTGCATATCCTATAACTATTTACCCATTTTTATCATGGTTTAATGACCATTGTTATGATTGATTTTAAAATAATAATAAACTTTAAACTGGAGACGCTTAAAAATACAATTTATGTCGGTCTCACATTCAGCTACTCCTTAAAATATAATTATCCATAATACAATATATGTTTTAAAAAATAAATATATAAAAATAAGTTAAAATTAAGAGATGTGTAAAAAATTTAGTTTTCTTGACGACTTCAATGTAATAAATTTAAAACTACAATAATTACTAATGCCGACTTTAGAGTGACTTACATATTGAGTTGCATTATTTCTGAAAAGATGTTGACAACACATTTTTAGGTGCATTTTTGGCGCGACCATCAACTTTAAATCTAAATAAGATTTTTTCTTTATTTATATAAATATATATATGTCTATATTTATATAAGTATTTTTTTATGGCTGAAGATTTGATATGGATAAAATTTTGAAAAATCATTGCTTACATTTAATTTAAGTTGACTTTAGACATGACCATCGTCACACTGAATTAAAATGATACGAAGGTTTTATGAGAGTTCATGATAAAATAAATAAAAATTAATTAAATTTAAAAAAAACACAAAGCGAAATTAATTTAACTGAACATATGAATAAATAGAATAGATTAATTAAAAATGTAAGGATAAATTTAAATTAATATTAATTAATAGATCTTGAGAATTTAAAAAAAAAAAAAACTTTCACTGCAAATTAACAAAACTCCAGAAAAATGTGCGAACATAAAAGTCAAATACGACTT